TATACATTCTGAACAAAGGAAAAAAAAAAAAGTGAAGTGAGAAAAAACTTAGTGACTGAACCAAAAATTTTGCACTGTTTTTGTTTTTCGTTATGCTATATTGAAAATGAATTATCAAGTGAGTTCAGGTTGATGTCGCTTGCACTTTATCATAGTTTAATCTACAATCTTTGTCTAATTCGAATCAACTAAATTATTGGTTTCTGTCTTAACTGTGAGCAACGGTCAAACATTTATTGATTTTGGTTGATCATAAATTGATTTTTTTTTTCTTTGCCTTAAACTTATTACAATTTTGATCGATCAGTTATTATTTGAACTAATTTTTAAACTTGTATACTAATCTAAAACTTGTACCCAGTTATAAACGTTTCAACGTTAACAATGGTCAACAAAACGAAAGAAAAGTATTTTTTTCTTTTGGCTTATTTTTGTCTTTGTATAGTTGCAAAAAAAAATTTTTCTCACATTTACAGTTACAAAAATGAACAACCAGTTCTCATATGTCGTTCAATACATTTTAAATTCACTAAGTTGACAGACCGACTGACTGTTGCAAACAAAAACATACTTAAAATTCACTAAAGCAGATTCTTTAGACTGTTTTTCTGCATATTTTCTTCATACTGTTATGATTCAAAATTGCTGGGTCATTCTAATGTCAATAGATATTTTTACCAACATATAGTCGTTTTGGCAGTTCCCGCATAGGTTGAGAGTGTCCAGGAAGTTTTTTTTTGTTTATTTTCTTATAACACTTTCTAGCTAACAGGGATTTTTCAGTTTCTCCGTTATTTTCATTAGCTTCTTAACTATCTATTTCTGCTGACTATGGTATGTTATCCAGCATTTTATAGTGCTACAACTTCTTTAATAATTACCTACTTTACAAATGCCTGGTACGTATGCTGTTCTTTTCTGTTTGTCCTACAGTTGTTGTCTTTTCTAAATGACTATTATCAAAGAAGGTATTAACGTTGTTAAAATTACTTAAAAGTTGGATCAATTCTTGATACTTTCTCAGCAAATAATAAAAAGAACCTTTCTTAGTTAGATTAAAAGACCTCTTGAACTTTTGATCAGTATACTGTAACAAATATAGGCTTAAAATATATCAAATCTAAATGATCAGTAGCAGATATCTGCACTTAAACTGTTCAAAAAAAAAAAAACAAAAAAACAAAAAAAAATTTTTTTTTGGAGTTTTGATGGCGTTGCATTAAAAATTTTTGGCTGACTGTTGATCAGTATAAAAAGACAGCTTCGTTTTTGTAATGTACTTCACTGCATAAAAGATTATCTTTTGAAATGCGAACTTCGCTCTCCATTCCCGGCTGGTAATGAAAATCCTTAGTAAGAGCGCTGCAGTTGCAGAGTACGAAAAAAATTTTAGAAAATCAAAATTACAACAAATTTTTGTCTTTTAAAAACCGTTGGAGCTACCAAAGCAACTCAGCAGATTCTGTAAACAGCAAAGATACGCTAAGTGAGCGAATGTTGTTGTTAGCGGTATGTCGTAAAAATAGTCAAGCAGTCGCTGACGCCTAAAATATGCTTTCACCAAAAGTTACAGTCTACGCTAAGCCAAATTCTTGCAAGCGGTTTCTTCAGACAGTTAGATATCAAACTTTTCTATATGCAGTTAAACAAATTCTTCATCTGTCTGAACAGTTCTTGTGAGTCCTGTTAGCGGCATCTTCTGAATTTTACAGAAACTACTGCTGGTATTAGAGATATTGTACTATATACATCAATCGGATTTCAGAACATAACTTTTACTGTAGCTGAGAAGTTGGGAAATGACGCTATCATCATTAATTCCCAACGCTCACCTTTAAATCAAACAGAAATTCTTTAGCCATACCGTGTTCCATTACAGGTATCGTATCGTACTTTTGAGTGCTCTTATATTTTGATAGACTATCCGCTCCTTTCAATATACGTTACAAATTGGATACATTTCAAAATGAAGAATTATGTCACTGTTTCTGGAACATCATTGAACGGGGTCTGGTTGTTTAAGGTGTTCACACTTTTCGGTTGAGTTCGTCATCGTATCGTTTTATTTGTCAGTTGTTTGCTTGCTAAGTAGAAGTGGTTCCAAAAAAGTAAAAGTTTTTTTAATTTAAACGAAAACATATGACGATTAAAAAAACAATAATATTTTTTTCAAAAATGCTGTGCTCTTACAATACGTCATCTGTTTGGTACAGTATTAACGTATTCCTCTTGACCGTTAATCTGCGCTATTCGGTTAACAAAAATATCATTTCGATTACCAATCGCCGTTAAAGAAATGGAGTAAAACTGTCAGTTAATCTGTTTTTTAATTCGGATATTCTAAAATTTGTTCTTTTTTGAAAGAATCACTCTATTTTTTGCTTATTAAGTTCTACCTCAATGCACTTATTAGCAGAATTATGGTACAGTGAAACGTATTGGTTGAGACAGATTTTATATGATAGCTTAACTCTTCAGACCGCATTGACTTGTGGGATGTAGATCCTGAGTAGATAATTAAGAAGCTGTAAATTTGAAGCTAGCTTTTTTAATTAGGCTTGCAATCATTGCAGAACATCTGCAGACCAATACAGAATTTCGTTACTTCACTGTTCGTCTATTAGGTCTTATCCTATTAAATAAATCATCTCTACAGCAGATCATAGTTTGTTTAAAAAACCATATTTTATTTGGCTTACGACTGGAGTTTAAAATCATAAAAATGTTTTGAGGTGACAAAAATTAGTTGGACATGGTGCCTGTAATAAAGTGCAAGAGTAAAATAATGGTTTTCAATGTCAAAAAAAAAAAAAAAAATTTAATAGATTTCCTCACCGGTGTAGCAATATTTAGTATCTTTAGTCTGCAAGGTAACAAAATAAGCTGCTAAAGCCGAAGTTTCTGCATACGTTTGGGAAAAATTAGAATCATTTTTGTCGATCAGATAAAGTAATGAATAGTTGAAAGCGTTAAGAACAAGGGAATTTAGTGCTTCTCAGTGTGTAGTACGTTTGTTCTTAATTTCAAAATGGCTTAAGACGTTCAATTATGCCATTTTTTTGAAGAGGAAGTAGTGGTTGAATTTAGAGCGATTTAGAGCGATTTTACTTGGCCAAAGGATAGCAGTTTCCACCCTACCCTAATTACAAAAGCTGAAGAAGACGGGTAATAGTTAGCGTTGAAAAGAAAGACGTATAAAGACACTTACTTTAAGGAAATGAAGAAGACACTGGCAAATAAGTGCAGCCAGGTCTCTTATATAAAGGGCTTTAATCACCAAAATAACGTGATGACGTTACGTTGTTTGCCGTTTTTCTGACGCATTTTTGTTTTTCATTTTTGAATCATTCTTGACTTTAAAGTAAGCTTTTTTTTTTTCTTTTTAGACATCAAACATTATAAAACTACTATAAACTACAAAACAATAATTGAATTTTTATTTTTTCAAATGTTTTTTTTTCACATACCAGTTGTTTTCTTTCTTTTATCGTTGTTATTGTTGAAGATGTTTAAAGGCATTATTAATTATTAATTATTTTAATCTGTTGAGTTCTTCTACTTTTTTTGGTCTTTTTGATTTTTTTTTCACTAAGTACAGTTGATTTTTGAAGACTTAATGGTAAAAGTTTGCTGAATGTAAACGGAAGTATGACCTTCAGTTTCCGGCAGTGCTGCGATAGGTTACGCATCAAATTTTAGACAAAATTAATGAAGCAAAAAAATTGACAGTTTTATATTTTGGTGCTGCCTCAAATAATTATTTTCTAATTTTTAAAAGATATTTTCTTTATGTTTTTTTGTTTAAATCGTTAATCTAAACAAAAGTCACATGATTGATAATGCTGTTGCTGATGAAGTTTTAAACTTTATGGCCAGTTGTATTGTCAGCAAAGTTGACATTGAAAATTAAAAGCTTTTCATCTCTTTTATGTATCTTTTTTCCTTATTGCTATCGGTATTTTATGCAGAAAAAAGGCTAATAACATTATAAATTCGATTGCGTTTCAAACTTCTCAAAAGCATAAAGAAAAGGAAGTGTTCATTTTTTGTAATCTTTGTTTCTTTCTTATTGATTAATAAATAACTGAAAAACAAAATCCAGTTCTAATGACGACAAACAAAATGTTTTATAATGGTCATGATAATGAAGTCATTACTAGTTTTTTCCTTTTTTTTATGTTTTACTTGATAAGTGATTTGGGTGGAACGACCAATTTGAGCTTTCTGAATCATTGACTTACGTTTTCTTTGAAGTTATTGCTGGTGACCACACTACTGCAGGTAAACTGCTGCAATTTTCCTTCTTAATATTGTTGAAGTAAGCAAAAGAAAAAACTGTACTTAAACAGTGTTTTATAATCGATATTTGAAGTATTCAATTCATTTACACGAATCGTCTTCGTATTATCTTGATTAAAAAATTTGTTTTAAAATATTTTTTCAACTGGACATTCTCAACGTTCTGTTATAGTTTTTCTTCAGTTGATCAAACTGAAGGATAATTGCAACTTTGTGTTGATACACACATCAAGGCACTAAAATATAGATTCAAAATGTTGCGAAATATTGAGAGAATATCATGAAACAGTGACAATCTGTTGTGGTAGGAGCTTCATCAGATGTCTTACTGATCGCTGTGCACAAAACATATGTCGAATACGAATCGATTCTTACATACTTAATTTAAATCCACAAAAAAGAACTATACGTTTCAGACTTAGATATCTAAAAGTACGCTAAAAAAATATGAAATAAAACTGTCATTTTAAGTTCTATTTTTAGAGAAATAGTTTCCTGAAGTGTCAGCAGTGAAACTTTGATCTGTTAACTATTTGATGAAAGATATCACTGTCAAAAAATGAAAACAAAAACTTGATTATTCGGTCAGAAATTAAACTTAAAGTGGCAACAGCGTGAAACACACATTAGTTGTGCCTTATAATAAAGAAAGGGCAAATAAATAAACAGTAAAAAAATTGTAACTAAAATGTTTACCAGTTTACAGTTAATTAGAAGTAATAAGCTTTTGTCCATATATGACTCACACTAATGACGATCGTAAATGTAAACCTGACGCAGCAACTTGCATAATATGATAAATTTTTTTTTGTTTTTTTTTTTTTTTAAATTTACGTTACGATGTTAAACTGATGATACCGATGGCTAACAGAAGGCATTTTTCTGCTGTGTTTGTCGACCATTTTAGTAGTTTTGACTTAAGTTTTTTCCTCTGTAATTTTTCAAACTAAAGCTTTATTCTGAGCAAAACAGTTAATGAGCTTTTTTTATTTCTTATCCACCTAACAATAACGTGTATCAGCTTGAAATTTTAATAATATAAACTTGTTCCTTTTCTTTTTTTTCTTTATTTTGAAACTTTTGTTAGATGAAAGAAGACACGTGTTTTAAACATGTATTTTCATACCAATATTTCCTCTGTTTCACAGGAATTTTTGCGATAAAAATCGTTTTTTCTTAGCTGCAATCAAATTTAATTGCACAAAATGTGGTACCCTGTTGAAAGTTTAAGCAAATTTGTCGACGATGAAAAGCTCAATAGTCGAAGCTGTCTCCTGTGAATTGTCCGTTATTTTGTCAGTAAAGAAAAAGGAAAATACATTTTTTCAAAACACTCTTACAGCCAGTTTCATGTCATGGAACATGTTAAGGTAAAATTTCAAAAGAATGTTCAGGAAGAAAGTGTTAGCCTCTTCCGTCTTTGCTTTGGACAGTTCCCTTACAAAGGAAAAAGCTGCAAACTCATATCCTACTACACTTTTTTTCAGTGGTTATCTGTTTCCAGCACTAAATTGCGAAGAGTTTTCAATTTTGGTTTTTTTAACCAATAGAAATGTTACTGTTGAAAAGAAAAAAAAAGAACAATTTAAGAGTTAAATTTCATTTGGTATCATCATTTGTCAATGCCTTGTTTCGCAAAAGTATAAGAGCATAAACAAAAGTTAAATTTCTCCTATCAACTTTATCTCCTCTTTTCACTTCGCTTCTAGGTATTTTCAAAGGAAATGTAAAGTGTTCATAGAGTAATTTTTGGCTTATATTTTTTTTTAGAAGAAACACTTAGTTTTTCTACTACTGTGCAGAGTACTGGTTCACCTTTGTTGTAACTGGTGCTTAAACCGGGATTTATGGCTCTCTCACTGGCTAAGAAGGAAGAGGTCAATGGAAGCGGTAAGGAAATGTTTTTGCTCGGCACAACTGTAACACTCGTTTTTCATGATATTGCCATTTCATTCTTTGTGGCAAATGAAAAAAATTCTAAAAACGGGAAATCCCGCGGTAAATTTTTACTGATAAGAAACTTTATATACTTCATTATACATAAACCAAATTGCTTTTTAAAAGAGCCGGCTCTTGCAGAAAAACAGGTACTTTTTCCTTATCATTTTTATTTCCCGTTTTCGACTTTTCCACTGAGTTAGCAAAAAAATGTCTGCAAATTAACAAGCAAAAATTATTGTTTTTATTGAATTTTACCCAACATTTTATGATTTTGCACCAAAAGAGTATTGTACATATTCTTTACCCTGCTTACCTTTCTTAGCTCTTCTACGACTATTTCCTTGAGTTTAGATTAAAATAAGCTTTTTGAAATTCTCCTGATATGCTCTTCACTAGCTGTCATATTACAAGGTGCGAAGAACAGAGCATAAAATGCTGTTATTTTGCTCGCACTGTTTTCTTGAGCTCCAGATTTGGATTATACTTCATGTTGCCCTGAATAAATGTAAGTTTCGTTTACACAGGTCGGCTAACTTGTGTTCACCGATTCAAACGCAACACTGATGTTTTTTGTCAACAGAAAAATAAATGACATCTTAGTTAGAGAACGGTGAAAATTTCTAAAGCCTGTTTAGAAAAAAAATTGGCTCCTTATGAAGAAATCAAGATTCAAGTATAACATCATAAACATCACCTCATTTGGTGAAACATTTTCTGCTTTTATTATCAGCAAAGATAGTCTAAAAAATCATTTTAAAAGAATAAGAATAAAGGTACATTAATACACTTTAAGACAATCAAATGCACAACTAAAATTCGTATTATAAACTCAGCTTTGAAAAAACCGACGTATTTACAGAAGTAATTTTAAACTATTAAAGTATAATGTTGAGCAGTTAATTGAGTAATACAAACACATTAAAAAGTGGTGTTTGAAATGAGTATTGTAAACTACCACTGAATTTTTTTTCTTACAAGAAGAACCGATTGCTTGAGCAGAAAAAAATAGGAATCAGGTGGTAACAAAAAGTTAAACAAGGGGAGGAACTCATGGACTGCATAAAGATATTTCCATCTTCCGCTTTTACCAAAGTAGTTTCTTAAGATGGTACTAAAAATTAGATACAAAGAGCAAAAATTTAAGTTGTTACTGACGAGTAAATAACCTTTTCATTTTTTTAGGTGTTTTCCATAGCCAAAACTGTATTCAACTAAATAGAGTAATGCAGCTTTATCACTTCTTGACAGCTACTTATAAAATTGGCTATCTGAATACTTCAGTAATCAACTATCGTCATAGTTCCTACCTGCTAAAAAATGCGTCTCACTGTTTGGTCTTAGCTAAGAAATAGAATTTGCTTGAAATTCAAAAAATCAGATCAAAATCTTTGACCAATTTTATCCCAATCAGGCTCACCCCTTTGGTCAAGATCATCCATCAATTTGACACGGCTCTGTTTTATGATTGGGAATGGTGGACGGTCTTCTTCTGTTTCTGATCCTTCAGAATACTCACTGTTTCGACTTACAACTTCTGCTTCTTGAAGCTTCGGCTCAAACGATGACTCGTTTCTATCTTCTTTTCTGTGGCTGTCGACGGAGGTAACCTTTTCAAGTACATGCTCTGTAGCACTCTTCGCTATAGCATTTCTAGGTTCTTCGTAAACAACGTGTCGGTCGTTTGTGTTCAGTTCTGCACTGGCAATGAATTTGGAAGACCTGATATTTTCTGAAACGCTTTTTTCGCGTTCTAAAAGGATTTCTTTGCATATTTTGTCAATTAAAGATTCAGAATGGTCTATCTGCTCATTGCTATAACCTTGACGCGCATCTTCAAAAGAAGTAGAGTTTTGCTCTTCATAAGAATCCTCTTTCTGAGTTCCACTATCAGAAACTGGTTTACTTTCAGGCTCCTCTTCAGTATATGTCGATTGCTCTACGTCATCATGACCACTCTTGCCATTGCTAAAAAGTGGTTCAAATTCAATTTCCTCAGCTTTTATAAGTACAGCGTTATCTTCAAATAATTCGTAAGAATCCTCTACCAACGAATTATCCCCAGACAGACTTTCTTGGAGCTGGTCGTCAAAATTTTCGCTACTGGCTTGAGTATGAAGCGTACTGTCACTGTACTGGTAGTCCAAGTTTTCCGCTGATGCATTGTCCCTTATCAAGGATGGAATGTTTGGATGTTCTGTCAAGAATTGATTTTTTATGTTTTCAAAACTGCAGTATCCAACCTCATCATCACGATATAAGATTGGGGGGTCACTAACGTCGTCGCTACTGAACTGTTCCAGTTGCGAGTTTTTATTGTCTTGTTCCGTCTGTGAACTTGCTATTTCGTCTTCTTCACAGAAGACTTCATCATAATGATGATCGATGTAAATACTAGTTTCTTGGTACTCAATATTGTCATCAGGTACTGAACAAGCCTTGTCTACAGTACCAATGCTCAAATTGTCATCTGTCTGTGTTATCTTAGAATTCATTTCATGTAAGCATTTCCTATCTCTTAGATTCCTCCAAAACTCAGCTCGTCGGCCCTGAAACTCATTTCGCATTTGTACGTCTTTGGTAAGCTGAATGAAACGCCATTTATTCTCGCTGGTCAATCGCTCAAGTCCCTGAATTATACCTCCATTGGGATTGCTGAAAATACTCCCAATTAATCAAATTGAAAGTTTTTATACTTTTAGCAGCTCAGACGATTAAGTGCAAAAGAAACTCACCCGCATTTAGCAAAGTTCGTAAACATTGTTGTGAACTTGTTTATTACTTGCAGGTCTGATGCATTGGGATGAAATGTGTCAATCAAACTTTTACCAAACAAATACGGTATTTCGGAGTCATGTGTTGCGGCTAAAAACGAGTTACTATGTTTAATAATGTTTCAAAAGTTTTATAAAGTCAAAAAAATACCATAGATACTTGAAAAAACTAATTATGTAGTTTGATTGAAGCGAAGTTTTTAGTACCCATAGCTACATCAAACTA